GAGTCGTCAGCCCTTCCTCCTCTATGGCTCCTCCCTCCGTCAGCTCCACCGTGGGTCGGTATCATGGCTGTGGCCTGGGTCCCACCTGGCGCCGCATGCTCCAAGTCCCTCCTGTCATCTCCCTGGCTCCTTCCTCCGTCTGATCCACCCTGTCTCCTCCTATTTCCTTGGCTCCTCCCTCCGTCATCACCTCCTTGGACTCTGTTTGCCGGCCCCCTTCCGGGTGTCCGTCCTCCTCCTGAGCCTCCTCCCAATTCCCACCTGTCCCTCCCTCTGTTGGTTCTACGGCGCGAGGACGCGCCATCCGGCAGGGGGGCGAAATGTCAGGATTGGACTGTCTTTGTTGTGTTTTGCTCCCCATGTGCTCTCCGTGAACCAGTTTCTCCCTCATGTGCCCTTATTTGGTCGTTCCTGTTCCTGTCCTCATTGTCTCTTAATTAGTCATTCTGTTCACCTGTGTTCCTCCCAATTCCCTCGTTATCCTGTGTATTTAAGCCCCAGTCTGTTCAGACTGTGTTTGTCGGGTCTACATGTTGTGAACATGTGTCATCTTCCCTTCCTGGTGTGGATTTACCCGTTTAGATATAATAAAAGACTGTGTTTGCTATTTTACGTCTCCATCGTTCCTTCCGGCAGCGTTACGTGACAATACCGTACCAATTAATATTTTAAGGCAATAAACATACTTATCAAGGACCAATCAATTGCTTTCATGTACCCCACCACCATCACTTACTGCTGAACTCTGCATTCAGAGGCCAGTCACATGGGCGATGGCAATCAGCAGATGTCATTCAAAACTGCAGCATGTAGCTGCTTTGTTGGGGTGCAGTTTGACTTTAAACTTAAAGCTTAAGCAATTATATCAAACAGCAGCCATACCAACCAAGGCTCATTGGAAAAACATGCTCGTGGCAACAATTTTCAAAAATTATATTATGTTGCTTCTTACACATTTCGGTACACTTTCAAAACCAAATGTCTAGTGAATGGCACTAAAAGCACATTAAGATGTATCCAAAACAGATAAATGTGATCCTGGCGTATTTTGCTACAATGGTCGTTGCACATATGGTGGCAGTTCAGAAGTGAAATATCCAGTGAGTGCTGCTAAAAGCACAATCCTCCAATGCCGTCTTACAGTATGTTGGTAATGGAGTTCTTAAAGCTGCAGTCCGTAACTTTTGGCACTCTAGCGGTTAATAAACCGAACTGCGTGCATCTTGCTGAAGTACATTGTAGCCGGAGCTACTTCTTTCTGTTTATGTCTATGATGAATCACGCATGTACTGGGCTACTCCGCAGCGGTACCTACCCGAACCAGTCTAAAATAGACAGAATATAAGTACTTATTATAGGTGTACCGTAGTGATTCAGGACAAGCCAAAAACACGGTTTGGAAAATGGATTCATGGTGTACTCGCTTATTATAAAAATTTTGTACATTTTGAACACAAAAAAAGTTACGGACTGCAGCTTTAATAAGACTCTAACATGAAATCATTAACTGTTAAACTCTCTCCACCAGCTCAGTGGCTTTCTGTTCTTGATCTACATCACTTTCATTTAAAGAAAAACCACACCTCTAAATTACACCATTTATCTCTGACCAAATGAGTTCACTCATGATGATAAAACATCACATGACCAAGAGTAATGAAGCCTGCAGGTGAAGCGGCCATTTTAATCTCTGGGAAAGAGAGAGGGGAAGCAATGATGTGCCAGATTAGACTCATTACGAGGGGGAATGTGTTGATGGGCTGCAGAAATGGAGGATGAAGGGATGAGGATGCAAGAGCCACAGAAAAAGAGGACAGTCTTACATTTTTATGTATGCATTTGGGAGATGCATTCAGTCTATACATTTTACACAATTTGTCAAGTTTTTAGCAATGTACTTTTTTGTATTCATGTTGGTTTCGCATGGCTTTGAAATACCATTTCCAAAAAAGTTTCAATTTAATGTCATGTTTAACCAATAATTATTCCATATTTTCTTTACACTTTGAGACATTATTTTCAAAACCTTTTTCTATTTAATATTTTCTATTAAATTTTTTTCCAATTTTTTTCTAATTATCATGAATGACTTTTTTCTAACAAATAATAATAAAAATATGCCAAACTTTTTAATAAGGATTACTTTTCAAGAATTTCTTTCTTTTGGCATATCAGGACATTTAAAAATTGCTAATCACAGTCAGTGTATTCAATTTGTATGTAATATGAAATGCATTAAAAAAAAAGATAGACAAAAAAATAAATGTCACATCACTGACTCAGTCTACTTGTTATATTTAAAACATTTTTTAAAAGTACTATTCATAAAAATGAACAGATAAAAATTACTGCTAAATTGTCAGTTGGAAGATCTGGATATGCGCAAAAAAAAAAAAAACAGCAATTGTACATTCAGTTCGAAAATTTCATTCTAAACATTTTCTAACCATGATTAATTCACTGTGTGCTTTCACATCAGCGCTATTGTTCATGAGCTTATTGGACTGTTTCAGAGCTGGTGGCTATTCAGTGGGCAAAAATATCCAGTGACTAGACTGCAAACGGATGGGCTGTTTTTCCTCTCAGATCTGCAGTTAACAAGAATGTTTTCTCGCAAAGTGGACCAAGTTAGCAATCCATCCCATTATATTCATTTAAATTTGACATGGACCCAGAGTACACTGAATCATAATAGGGATGGATGGAGGCAGCAATGAGTAAATTGAGATAATGAGAGCCAAAGAGGTGTCTAGAGTGAAGGCCTTCCTTTTGTCTTTTAGGCAAACGGCTGCAGGGATACTAATGGTTGATCAAATCCAAATATGCCAGATAAAAAAGATCTGTCCTACTTTTTCGCTAATGGATGAAAGAGAAAGAAAGGAAGAGGGAGATGTCCTGACTCATGCCACATATGGTAAAGGACTCGCTGTACTGATGTCCGGCAGAATGTTTCCCTAAAGCCTCTCTCAACACAAGACTGCTAAAAGCTCTCCAAATCAATCCTACTTGCAGATACTACTGAGGTGTTATTACTGGAGCGTGTTTGTGTTAAAGTGTGTATATTCGCAGAAACGTATGTGAACTTGTTGGACTTATCTGGTTTTATCTGCATAAATTGGACATAACATTTGATACTGAAAGTTACAACAGTCTACAGTACTTGAATGAATAACACAACCAATGATAGGTTTTCATGTCTTCATTGAACACACCATGTAACCTTCACACTAAGGAGTGGCCTTCAACAAAGACATCAGACCAGCCATTAGCAGGTATTCTCTAGTCCATTCCTTTTACAAAAAACTATTTCTGTTCAGACTATTTCCATGTCTGGTGTAAATGTCTCTGTTCAGAGCATCAGGTTGAGGTCAGGACTCTGACTGGGCAGTAGCATGGGCCGATTACCAGTTTCAAGGTATACCGCGATTTGAAAATTTCGCAAATATTTCCCGTCATACCATTCCTGCAGTATGCGCTGTTTTTCATGTCTCCTCAAAGACTGAAAGTGTAGGAATCCCTCAGGTTGAGTGCAGTGTAGAGAGTAACACGACCCTCCTCCTGTTGGTGCGAGCGAGCGGTCAGTCACGTGTGTGTAGGATGGATGAACTTAAGGAGCTTCACCTGGAACTCACGCGATCGGCAACCGGCCATTTTTATCTTATTGCAGCTCGTCTCTGTTCTGGACTTGCACAAATTGCGTTGCAATGCAATCATTTTCCAAAATGTCATTTATGTGAAAATATGAAGGCTGTAAACGCCCGTTAACAGAGGCCAGAGACGCTGAAGACAGACGCACAGAGAAAAGTACTGTAGCAGGCAGATCACTCACTGTTCATGATGCACGAACTATTGGAAGAAAATCCTCAATAATGATTTGGGGGTTTATATGAATGTGTTTCTGAGGGGAACTGACTGTCTTCAGAAAAGTTTACATGGTATTTTCTTTTCATCTAGTCTCTGTATAGTTCATATTAAAGCAGTGTTTCAGGCAGCTGCTTTGTTTACATTGGTAACCAAGGAAACGCTGTATCAGGTGTTCCATGAGCGCCTCCTGCTGTCAGAGAGTGAATCTGCGTCTCATTCAGAGCTCCTGCTGTTTGCTTCGTTCAGGCATGTAGTATAATTTCACAAAGCTAGTCAGAACATTCTGTTTTTGCTTCAAATTGGGTTATTATTAAATCAAATTATGTATATGAAATTATATAACTAAATGATACGAAATTATATGTATATTAATTATATAACTAAAATTAAATAACTGTAATTACAGATTTAGGTTAAATAAAGAATGTCAGTCTTTATTTTTTTCTTCTTTTTAGGAAACAAATTAAAAAAAATGTATTCTACTGTTCCTAATATTCTGTATGTTGCTCAAACACAAAATATATTGTGTTCAGCGGAAAAAAGTTTACCCAGTCATTTAAAAATAACGCATTTTAGAGCTGTAACGACAATACCGTGATATTTTTGCTTAAGGTTTTCATACCGTCAAAATCTCATACCGGCCCATGCCTACTGGGCAGCTCCAAAAGACTCATTGTATTCTGTTAAAACCATTCTGGTGTTGATTTACTCCTGTGTTTGTCCTGATACATCACCTTCTGCAGAGCTTCCACTTGTGGAATTCCTGCTTGGGAATTCCAAACTTTTCAGCTGAGAGAGTGTTGTGCTTCTTACATAATGTAGCGTTTTCATTTTCTCCAAAAAAAAACGTTGGTTTTATCCGTCCCCAGAAACATTAATAATGCTGAGGAACATCCACATGCTCTTTTGCAAATGTCAGACATGCAGCAATGTTTTATTATTGGGCAGCGGTGGCTTCCTCTGTGAAGTCTTCCAGTGAAAACCACTGTTTTTTACTGCTGAACACATTATAGACACGTCAACAGAGAAGTTCA